TAAAATAATATTATTGATATTAGAACTTCTAATACATAATATGTGCGTACTTCTCAGCATTAGATAAACCATATATTCTTCAACATATGTGTGGAAGGTGATTTTTCACATCAAAATATATTATAGAATTTCATCTTAATTCTCAAATTCTTGTTCATCTACGAACAATTCGAAGAGATGCTGGCTCCAATACAAGAGATGAGCAAACAACTATAATTAATGACTGTAATGTATTATTAATTCTGAAGTTACAGCCAGTCAGATGTAATGGCGTACACCTTTAATCTTTGTCCCGGCCCGCGGGACTTTCAACAGGGTACCTGGAGTGAGGAGTGGGGATTGAATGGGGCAAGAGACACAGAGAATGGAGACAAGACAGTGCTCTGATCAAGTCTTGTTTATTGAACATCTGCACAAAGCTTTTATAGGGAAGCAGAGGGCGGAAGAAGCTGGGCGGGTAAGTTCCTCTGTTTACCGCACATTCCACAGCCAGACCATGAGGCAGGATGTTTTTACAGGATGAGGAAATTTACAAGGTTGAGGCAGAAAAACATGTTTTTCACAAAGTCATCCGCTACTCTTAAAAGGAAGTCAGAGAGTGAAGCTGTAAACTGCTTGCTTCACAGACAATAGTTACTATTTCAGGGTAGGGGGCCCCACGGCTCCCTCCTCTCACGCACTTCCTCCATCACTTGCTCTCCAATTTCTATGTCCTCAGTATATCTTCCCGTCTTATCCTCCAGGCAGGTCCAGATTAAGTCCCAAATTGCTAAAGTGCCAGGAGGAAGAGGGGCCTTCTTATCTGCCTCCTTGAAATCCTTTCCAAGCCTACTCTAACGCGGGAGATTAACAAATCCTTCCTCTAGAAACTACAGGGCATCATTAGCTATCGTATCTCAGCCTTTCGTTTTCTAAGTCTAACTTCGTCTCTGTCTCCGGGAACCTAACTTCGTCCCTGTCTCCGGGAACCTCACTTCGTCCCTGTCTCCGGGAACTTCACTTCATCCCTGTCTCTGGGAACTTCACTTCGTCCCTGTCTCCAGGAACTTCACTTCATCCCTGTCTCCGGGAACTTTATTCTATGCTTTGCCACTTGTTCGTGGACTTTTCTCTCCGTCCCTCTACTCGGGGAACTTTACTAGCACTAGATCTCCGCTGCTTACCTGCGGACCTTACCTTATTTTCTTTCTTCTTTCTGTTTAGTCATTTCTTTTTTCCATTTTTCAGGTGCTTCTTTAACAGGCTCTTCCTTCTCTTTTTCATATTCCTCTTTATCATCAAAAACATACTCTTAGTTTGCTTTACAGTCCAATTTACAAATGGTCCCCTTAAAATACAGCATGCCCCAAAGCCTTCTGAGTTTGAAATGTAGCCTGCAGCACTCTTTCTACAGAAGCCCTGAAGGATCACAAGAAGCTTTCTTAAAAACAACAACACAAAAGTTCCAGTTGGATGAAACCATTTTTCAACTGAGCTTAAAAAACCGAATTTTCAGAAATACAAGAGGACAGGAAACAGATTACTTGGGTTTTTTTTTTGTTTTTGTTTTTTTTTCTCTCTCTCTCTCTCTACGTCTTTTCACATCTTTTATGAATGCAGCTACGATGTTTCCTCCACTGATACACATAATAGGGTGGACAGCGTGGTTACCACCAGGACCAGAAGTGGGCTCAGACCGCAGCTGGGAGGAGCAGCCATTGATTTTGTGGTTGTGTGGCTGGAAGCACCAGCGATACCATCCTTTTCATAATCGTGATCAGAAAGACAGAGATGTGTATTGCCTGACACATTGGATTTTAGTTTCTGCACCTGCAAATTTGCACAAGGTGGCAAGACATGTGTGGGAATTTCATTCTCAGTCCCTGATGGCTCCAGAGCCTTGTTCTTGACCCGGATGGGCTGCCACACAGTCACATCGGAGCCATTGCCAAAGGCTTGAATTGCATTTTTGAGACATGTATTGTCTTTGAAGAAACTGAGAAATTTCAAGCACTCCTCTAGGTCATTCCCACTGTTGCTGCAGTCACACCACAGGACCACGCTGAGGCTGCTGGAGTCTATGTAGTTGGGGGTCATGACTGTGCCAATCAACCCCGAGTAAGCCAGGAGGCAGTCTGCATAGTTCTCCTTAAGACAGCTGCTGACACACCTGGACTCTGGCTGGCAGTTGGTAAAAAAATCTATGAGGCGAGATCTACAGATGTAATTCGTCTTGCAGGAGTCCTGCAAATTCAAACAGTTGGGTTTCTCCCGCTCTTCGTAGGAGCACACAGGCACGATGGTCAGGCGCCGCCGCTCTGTGCAGGCAATGTCCCTGCAGGAGCAGAAGAGCATCCCATAGCTGTGCTTGGCTGGGACCTTGTCAAAGAACTGCCTGAGGGCCTTGTGGCACTTGCGGCGGTTGCAGACTTCATTGGACATGCTGGTGGTGCATGGGGTGATGTAGGCAAACCTGTACTTCTTGCAGGTGTCATCAAGGTTGCAGGCCTTGGCCACATCCAGGCAGTTATTCCCTTTCGAAATGTGCTCCACTGATATGAACAGGTCGGCACGGAATATATCTGATAATCTGCTGTTAACTGGTTCATATGGGGAATCTTCCAGCAGATCATTTCCCTGTAGACTCTGGTACATGCTCCAGTAGATGCGCAGGCAGTTCTTTTCTTTCTTCATGCCCCGCTTGCAGCGGCAGTTGTAAAGAGACTTTTGCTTCAGGGCCTCCATTGCGCTGCGACACTCATCCTTGGCCTCCAGGCTGGAAGCCAGGCTGAAGTTGATCTCCTTGCCTGCCACACACTGCCTTAGCGTGCGGTACTTGGTGCTGCAGCTCTGTTCTTTCAGGCACTGATTGCTGGCTTTCACGCAGTCAAGGCG